ATGCAGCCCAGCTTCTTGGCTAAACATAGACTAGAGCAGTGCCTTCAGTTTCTTACGTTACAGCCAGAAAGTGTTCCTACAGTAAGATGTAACCAATGAAATCAGAAGTAAAATCCTCCCGAGTATGGATTTATATGCAACTGAGGCTCACATTAAAAATAAGAGATAGTTCTCTTGGTTTTGAAAACACAAGATTCCTTCACTGAGAATCCAAATTGCAGCTAGATATTGTCAGTACCAATAAAACCTAGTCTTGAACAAAGACAAAGGACGTTTACCTCATCAACCCTCACGTTGTATATTTGTATAGTTGAGTCCTCCATTCCAATAGCGATAATATTGTTATCCTGAGGATGGAATGCAAGGTAGGTGGCAGCAGGTGGAGGTGGCATGAAAGTCGTCATGACCTAATCAGAACATATGTATTCCATTTAGTTATCTTAAACAGCATGCACCCACATGTTGCAAAGCCATCAAGGGATCATAGTGAAGAAAATTTTTCAACAGTCTCGAGCAAAGATGCTAATAAACCTTAAAGGTCATCATGTTGAACAAGGAGACCTTCCCACCAGAAGCAGACATGACATAAGAATCATTTTTAGATAAGGCAATACAAGCAACTGAGTCTTCAGCTGGTTTAGAATCACTCAAGTCATTAGACATGAGACCCCCACTAGTAGGCTGCCACAACTGGGGCACACTGGATGCAGAAGACTGCAAAGTAAAATATGAAGAATTTAGATTAAAAGAACTGAAGAAATAATGAATTCATGAATCAATCTAAAATAGACACTCAGATCCCAACCTTTCCAGATGGATTACGTTCATTGCGCTGCCACTTCCAGAGCTTATGAACGGCATTGGAAGCCAGAGCTAGTAGAGCTAGTCCAGAATTTGTGAAGATCAACCGTACAACCTTCAGTACATTACACATTGTAAGATCAAATATAATGGCCTATAAGAGGTAAGAGGCAAGAAAAACTACTATGACATAAAACATTTATGGACAGATGCCAACACATTAGGAAATTGGACTCGACGTCAGTAACCAAGACAAGCAGAGACTGAAAATAATGTGTTCTATTAAAGTCAAATGCTGTCCCAAAGTAGAATGGAAGTAATTTTCATATTTCTGGATATAATTACTGTTAATGAAGTAAATTAGTGAGAAATCATGTATATTAGGCATGAGATGTTGTGTTTCCGTACTGTATTGAGTTTCCATAAATTGTGACATTAGCTTTAGTATATATATTGAGAAATAGAAGAGAGGGAATATGAAAAATATAATTCTCTCGTTTAATACCAAAAAAGAACCTGTTTTTCAACATGGTATCAGGGCGTCAGATTTGGGTCATCTTCTCTGCCGAGTCTGGTGTCGTCCTCGGGGTTAAGTGACAGCACAGAAGCGGACGTGGGTTCCTTGTGGAGGTTCAACAATGTCTTCGTTGCCCGTGGTTCGTTTTCTATGCGTTTGCATCGCTGATAGTTGTAGGTTGCGTTAGTTCTACCAGTGGCATTAGTAGGTGATTCAGTGGTAATTTCGTGGTGTTTAGGCGGCTATGGAAGTGGGTTTCTCCCGTGGCATTGTTGTAATCAGGGACTAGAGCTACCAATTTTTTTATTTTTTTTTTTGGTAGGTTGATTCTGCCAATTTCACAGCTACAATTGGCGATACGATTTGTGATCTCCATTCTTGGACCGCCTATGTTTTTGGGCTACTGTGAATTAATTGAGTTNGTACATGTCTTGAACAAACTAACAAAGAACCTCGATGAAGATGATAATCTATAAATAGTATTCTATGATCATGACCCAAGAACACAAGCAGTAATGAAATTTGCTTGTGGCAATATGGAATCCTAATTTGTGAAATATCCATTCATGGTCCGTAACATCACATGATGTGGGAATGGAGGATAAGATCCAGTTCCGGGAAGACTTTTAGAGGGGGAATGATTCTTATTTGTCAACAATTTTCAAGTCAAATAAATCTTCATTCAGAAATTTTCCTATTAATTCTGTCGGTTTTCTTTCTGACCACCGAAACATGAGTTGGAACTTTCTGCTTTTCAGAACCTTCATGACAGAAAATTTCGAACTTGCCGCCCTTGTTAGCTATACTTGGAATCATTTACTACTTCAAGACTCTTTGTAAGATAAAAAAAAAATCCAGGACATCGTACTCATGGGTACTACTGTACCAAAAGCCATATTTCCAATCTTTGGTTAATTTTCCCTGTTACCCAATCTTTATACCCTTTATTTTTATTTATAAATAATCTATATAGCGTTATAACATGACTGACTGATTTTCCATAGAAAGATCAAACCTGAGACTTGGTTCAAGGCTTCAAGCAATACATCCAAATCCTTTATATCTGTCGTTCATGATCCATAACAAGTAAACGGGATTTGGAATGTATTGATCAATGTGAAGTTGCAAGGGCTAACTACGCAGATTAATACAGGAAACAGATTTGGTCTGTTTTTTCACTGGAAAATGAAATGGTTAAGTCGTCGAAAAACTAATCAGTTTCGGTTTGGGAAAAATGGGTGTTGTCTTGAGGAAAGCAGTAGTAACAGGAATTATTTTGGTAATACGGGTGAAATGAAGACTTTAGAAGGGGAGTTAATTTTAGGTTCTGGAAGAAGGCAAAATTTTTGGAATTGTTACACACCTCAACATCTAGAGGGTTAAAGGGTGCGCCTTTTCACAAAATTGTTCTCAAATGGAAAGAAATGCATTTTATTGATTTTTAGTTTAGTGGATACAGGATATCTTATCCTTCCATTAACTGTGAATATAGACCTTTGATTACTAAAATCTCGTTTCGCAGATTCTAGAAACCAAAAATAACAATGAAAATAATCACACTATTTTTTACGCACTAAAGAGATAGTTGATTTAAAAACTTTGTAATGACAAACTGAAGTATGTAGATAAAATGATGCAGTTTTCAAAAGCGAAAAATTCCAGTGAATTGATAATCAGACGTAGTTGATAATGTGTGTTCACAGCAAAACAAGAACAGAGCTGAGTTAAGCACTCACCGAACGCAAACATTCAAGTTGTGTATCATAAACTGCAATTTGGCTTTCATGAACGACCAGCAGATGAGATTGATTATTATGGAACTGAACTCTAGTTTCTCCAATCAGAGGAGATTGGAGAGCAGGAGGCGCTTGTATAGGCCGTGATTTCTTCTTCTCCCACCCGTCAATATTCCAGACACAGAGCTGCAATCATAATTGGACCAACCATATTAGTGCAAAAATTTCGGCAAATAGTTGCCAAATCAACACCATGCCTTATGAGAAAACTAGGTAAGAGGAACACATATTGTAGATAACCAAACAGGACTTGCCTGAGCATCAGCTCCAGATGATACCAATACATTCAGACTCTGCGAAAATGCAAGCCCTGATATTCGCTTCTGATGACCCTTGAGCTTGGTTTTAACCTATTGCACATGCAACGATAGAAGGGGAAGATATAGTTACAATTAAGGTATTAATTGGTCATAAATCCCAAGGGACAGAACAACAATACCTCCATCTTTAACAAAAGAGGGCAGTTACAGATCATAATTACATAGAAAAATATATTATGTCATCATATACCTATCTTA